TTTAAACCAACTCAGGGGAAAATTAGAGATTCGTAATTTGGATATGGTTAGAGACAAAGAAGAAGCCATGGGAGCAAGACTTTCTGAAAAGGATGCAATTCAGGAGTTGCAATTGGTGTTTAGGAAAAAGGAGTTGCAATTGATGTGTTATGAGGAATCCAGTGGCAGTAAAGATAGATGCGAACATGATGAAGATAGATGCAAACATGATGAAGATATCTTGGAAGGCCTCCAACCTCATTCAAATTTAAAAGGCCTAACTATTGAACACTATTGTGGGAAAGGCTGTCCTTCATGGATGTTAGAAACAAAAAATTTTCTCAAAAATATGATGTTCATGACCTTTTATGAATGTCCTTGGTTGGAGAGCATTCCATCACTTTCACTCAGCAATGAGGCAAAGTTAGAAATTAAAAATTGCAAGAATTTGAAAAGCATTGCATATCCGTCCCTTCAGAAACTCAACATTGAGAACTGTGAAGAACTAGTTCAGGTAGAGGTTGCACCAGTTGCCATGTCCATGCCCAATGTAGATGGGTTGTCCTCTCTTCAAAAAATTGACATACGCAGGTGTGGGCAATTGAAAAGCATAGGAGAGGATTTATCTACTGCCACGTGTCTCAAAGAGTTGACTATAAAGTGGTGCAATGTTTTGATGTCCTTTCCGAACCTCCATGGGCTTTCATCTCTTCAAAAAATTGAAATAGGCTGCTGTGGGCAATTGAAAAGCATAGGAGAGGATTTATCTACTGCCACGTGTCTCAAAGAGTTGTCTATATCGTTGTGCGATGGTTTGATGTCCTTTCCGAACCTCCATGGGCTGTCCTCTCTTCAAAAAATTGAAATAAGCAGGTGTGGGCAATTGAAAAGCATAGGAGAGGATTTATCTATTGCCACGTGTCTCAAAGAGTTGACTATAAAGTGGTGCAATGTTTTGATGTCCTTTCCGAACCTTCATGGGCTGTCCTCTCTTCAGAAAATTGAAATATGGAGCTGTGGGCAATTGAAAAGCATAGGAGAGGATTTATCTACTGCCACGTGTCTCAAAGAGTTGACGGTAAATAGGTGCGATGGTTTGACGTCCTTTCCGAACCTCCATGGGTTTTCATCTCTTCAGACTTTATGGATAAGCGATTGTGGTGGATTAAGAAGTTTGCCAAGTGGGTTGCCATCATGCACTGCTCTTGAGGTATTGGATATCTCCAACTGTGATAATATCTCTAT